AGGTTGGCAACTAAGTAAGAGTAAATTTTTATTAAAAAATCAAAGATCTTTTATTCATAGATAACTTTATTCTGTAATGCATTATCCATTATGATCAATGACTTTATCCAAAATTACTAAAAAACACTTTGTCACTGTTTTCATAAAACATCTGATTTTTATTGAAGAAAAACTTCTTTAGGCGCGACTAGGGTGTAAATCCGCACAAATGCAACGGAAGTCCGTTACGCCCGAACTGTTCGTTACCCGTCATTCGCTCTCGATAAGTTCATTTCTATACGGGTCGATTGTGATTAGACTCCGTGTGTGAAGAGAGATTCGTTGTATGCACGTATTTATATTAATATGGAAATCGGCATAGATAAATAAACATTTTAAAGTTACATCTTAGTACACTTAATGAAAAATGCCTGAATCAGAAGAATATTTTACTCTGTTCCTTAAAAATAATAAAACAAATTAAACATTTGTGCCGTGTACTAAACGTAAGTTTATTGATTAGAAATAATTTCTGTATTATTCGTAGTTTCTATAAATCTTTGAAGTTATTAAAAAGGAAAATATTTTTTAGGCAAGACAGATATTACAGCTGTTCAAAGAATTAGATTATATCGCGAAGCGTAAAGTAAAAAAAATACAAGCAGTCAATAAATGTATGTTAATTTTAATTACATGAAGTTCTTCAAACACAATTACATCATGAGTGAAGTTGCGAAAACAATATTTGTTTAGGCGTTCTTTAACATAATCCATTGTGTAAACGAATATTATAGAATTTATTAATCAGCAATTACTTAATTTCTCTAATAAAGGTTCATTTCTAAACGCTAATTACAATGACAAACCGATCATGTCATATTTGAAGTATGATTTTAATTACATAATTGTTTTTAAATATTATACATATTTTTGATGCTATTATAAATATATAATTTATAATTTATCATTATATAAATGTGTATAGTGGTTGACACTAATAAATGTGTGCATCACGAGTGTTATCATATTACTAATGAACATAATTTGAAGTTGTTAAGTGATGTATTTATTTTTACTTAACTAAAATTTGGTACTTTGTACAGTAGCAAATAAGTTTTACTTCAATCGCGTGGTATACTGAATTGCCTGGTATACAATAACAAAATATATTAACTTCCCGTAGGGTAAGTTATTGTAATGGGCCGAAAATCGGAATTGAAAATTTTAACATTTCTCGACGTTTTGAAGGTTTCTGAACGTTTTGGCATACCTCAGAAAAAATGGATGTGTGTGGTGTGTGTGTGTGTGTGTGTGTGTGTATGTATGTATGGATACAAATTTTCGTCCACGTTTTCGGGCGTACGGATCAACCGATTTGAATGGTTTAAAAAACATTCGATTCCTATTATAAGGAGAAGAGCTGATTAGTTTTTGGCAAAGACAGGTCCAGCAGTTACGGAGATAAAGAGCAAAGAGTGCAGAAAATAGAAATCGAGTTTTTGAGAGAACGGAGCATCCGATTTGAATGATCTAAAAAACATTCCATTAGTAATGATTGGGAGAAAGGGTTATTAGTTTTTCGCAAAGGCAGGCCCAGCCATTTCGGAGATACAGAGCTAAATGTACAAAAAATGGCAGTTTTTGAGAGAACTAAGCGTCCGATTCAATTGATTCAAAGAACTTTCTGCTTGTCTTAACAAATAATTGATTTTGGAAAAAAAAATTTGTACCATTTTTTTTTTTTTTTTTTTTAATTTTTTGTATGTCGAAAATAATTCAGATTTTATTTTTAATTCTGACTATAGTTCTAATATACTTTAAACAAATAATTTCAACTCTGCAATTCAGTTTATATAATTCTTATAAATATTAGACAATAATACAATATTTATAATAATCTTTTTGAAAACATTCAATATTCGTCGAACGTTTCGTTACGGTACGGGAAGTTCCAGCAATTTGCCTTAAGGCACGATGCCACCCACCCCACTAGTTTTATATAATATTTGGACTACGTCAGAAATCTAAGAGTGTTAGCCGCACTTACTTAGTTGCCAACCTAAAAATGGATAGTAACGCCTTAGAACAGGACTGTGAGTGGAGTTCAGGGAAGTTTGATTATAACAAACGAAACATGATCTATTAATTTCTATGAATAAACTGCTAGAATTAAGTTTCATAATCTTTATCTAACAGCTACTAAAATGCCAAATAATCACTAAATAACATTATTTAATCAAACTTAACCATATCAATCATATTCTTATGCATTCTCCCTACATGTATCTTAATATTAATTTTCTGGTGACTTTTGTGCGGACACCAGGGGCACTTGAATTGGGGCTCTTTGCCGCATTCGTACATCATGTGCCTCTTCAAGGTGTATCGGTGGGTGTAACGCCTACAGCATTTGGGGCAAACGAAGCCCATGGGGGGCACGTCGTTTGCACGAGCACGATGCTGGGAAACGTGATCACGAAGTTTTTCAAAATCGGGAAATCTTGCTGGACATAGAGGACACGATATGCCTTTCAGCAGTAAGTTTTCTATATCTGCAACATCTGGAATGAAATGTAAAAAAAATGGTTAGTTGAGATATTGAAGTATTGAAGTAATGTGTTATTTTGTGCATGCAAATTATAATGTGAAGATTAATGTAATGTTGTTTTTAACCAAGATGACCTAATTTCATCAAACAAAACACATCAACTTGAACAATGATCTTAAAATGGACTGCTAATCTGCTACTATGTAATTGCGATACCTACAATAAAAATAATAAAAATAATTATATTGACATTTAGTTAAGTTTTTTTATTTCCATATAATTACAAACTGTCTGGTGAGGCATTCAGTAATTTTGGTGACACATGTGTAAATATAAGAATTTAAGAATTTGCCCAGTGGTAGACATTTTAGATTTGAAAATGGATAAGATAAAATCACAGAACACTTTACATTATATGTTCTTTAATAAATCTAAAAGGTTAGTTTTTTGAGTCTTCATGGTATATTGGATGAGAGCAAGTTTTTGGCAAGTTGGTTCGGATGATCTTCTAGTCTAGTTTTGTATTTAAACTTATGTCTTCATATAGCTAAGATATAGCATTTGTTTTTATTTGCTTTGAAGTGTTTTACTATACAAAGACGTATGAATACTTTTATTTTCTAAAAATAATAACCAAATCAAATGGCACTAAATCGACCTCTTCTGGAAGTACCTTCTCTGTTTAAATTATTCGGTTTACAAATAATTACAAAACAATAAAAATAATATAGATAAATATACGAATATTTTGTTAAGATATACCATTTTATTAAATACTTTATATACTTTAAAGTATCAATATTACTCACAAATTTATACTATTTAAGTTTATTTACATTAAAATTATATTACGTATAAACTGACCAAATCAATTTAAAGTAGAGCTACAACATAATTGCTAAGTAATATTAGATTATTATGGCAACACGAGAGTCTAATAATTTATTTATTTAGTTATTTATTTATTTATTTATTTATAAAAATTAAAAATTATGCTCTGGATGTTGTTTCCGAATATGCTTGTTCAAGTTCCAATTCAAATGAGCCCTATAAGGACAAAAAGGGCACCCAAAAAGACGATCTTTGCCACATTCGTATTTTGTATGCTGATATAGACCACTTCTTCTAGAATAACTTTTGAAACAAGTTGTACATTGAAATCTCTGAGGCCAAAGATTACCTGAAAAAATACAAATGGTATTAATAATAATTGTGTTGGAATACTAAGGTTTTTTGCTGAGAAAATAGTGAGAATTGAAGGTTGTAAAAATTCAATAAATCTTGGTTATAGTTTTATTTTATTAATAAATGTCTGTACGGTGATATATGAACAACAAGTGCAATATCATAATCTTAATAACAAAAAACATGAGAGTAGCTTTTTAATTACAATTTGATTAAGCAAAAAAAAAAAATAACATCACTAAGCGCATATATAAAAAAACATAATAATAATAAAAATATGATAATAAGAGAATAAAAGTTTTATGAATTTTTAAGCTGGCTTGGTCAATCACATAAACCATAAAAAACTTATTTTATAAAAGGGCTTAATTTTTTACGTAAAATTTACAGTAGAATTAAAAATAACATATACTTACAAATTCATAAAATTACTTATATAATAGAATTATTTATTCATAATTAAATTTGAAAAATAGTATATTTATTAAATTAATTATTATTGTAAATATAAATTATGGCAATGTTATAATTTCTATGACATATATACATATAGTAAATTCGACAAACTTTAACTTATTTAATTATAAGTTTTATTTATGTCATGGATTTAACAAAATCACTTGTATTTATCGCACCTTTGTAATTCTTTTTTATCCCTAATATCACTCAAATATGTTCCTACAAAAACAAATTATTCAGTTATAAATAATATTTTATTGAATGAGTGAGTCGAAAAGTGTAATGTTTTTTTAGTTCGGAATCTTAAAATATATTTCAAATAATATTTCATGCAACACAATATCCGAAATCAATTGGATCAGGAAGGAAACACTTTCAATTTAATTTTTCCAAATTACTATTAACCTAACATAAAATAACTGGGACACATTAACATCAAATAACTGGGATAATTATTAAATTACTTAAAAATTAGATTAAGATTTATTTTAAAACATCTTCAAACAAGCGTACTGTATTTTTAGTTCGAAAACTTAAAATAATATTTCTTGCCACACAATATCCGAAATGAATTGGAATCCGGAAGGAAACAATAACATTTTAATTTTTTCAAATATACTATAATAAATTAATTAAAAAATTAACTAAAAAACAGAATAATATTTATTTTAAAATCTCTTCAAATAAAACGCTGAAGAATTAGTTTTTTGTATAGAGTGCGTCATGTTATACTAGTCGGTTTATTGAAAAAACCTCCTTTCAAAACAATCACTTTCAATCAGTTTTTGTCTTCAGCGAGTCAAATAAACAATCAAACATTAATTTTCCATCACAATGTATTCTTCTGTCCAGGAACTAAGCCAAATTTAGCCTTCGAATGAGTACGCATATGCCTCTGCATACATTCATTCCTATAACTTCTATATTCACATAAATCACATTTGAATTTTGGTTCCATGCCACATTCATTATTAACATGTCGACTAAGGGCACTTCCATGAGAATATTGCTTTGGACATTTTGGACATTTATACTTTTTTTCCTTGCAACGAACACTCCAATTCTCGATTTCGTCCAAAAGTGGAAAAAGTACATGAGGTGAAATTCGGCCTTTATCCTTCGAATTTTCGAAAGCAATTTGAGACTGTGATGGTCGGCAGTAATGATTTCTAATAGAATCGATATGAGGAAATAGCCGTTTGCAATTTGGACACCTGTATGATAGTGAGTAGTCAGTTGTTTTGCGACCTGTAAATAGACAGAAGTCATATGTTAAAAAAAATAAACTGATGTTTTATTTGAAATAATACATATTGCCTAATCTGAACTAAATAGTATTATAAGCGTTTAAGACAAAATTAATATATGCTAAGTAACTAAATCAATATATTTTTATGAAGCCTGATCAGCAAAATCAAATCCCCTGAATCTCATCCAATATAAATAAAAGGAAAATAATAACATTTAATAATAACAATAAGTAATAAAGATATAGTAAATAATATAAAAATACATAGATGATTACATACCTATACTGATATACGAAGCTGATAGTTTATATTTTCTAACAAAGTCAAGAACAGGCATCTAATGCATAAATAAAGACATGCTAATATAATAATACAATATTAAATAAAAGCAAATTATAAAATATGAGTTATATTCATATGTATATAAAATTTATTTATTGCACATAGAACATAAAGTTCAACGAAACTTCATGTTTTTCGACTAGATTCATTTATCACTTTTGGAATATATATTTATCCAACTTAAATATCACAGATATACGAGTATTAAATTTATACAAGAGCGGGTCGATTTATATGGGTTAAAAAAGTCGCTTAGGCACATATGATTTTCGGGTACTAAAGATCAAAATAAGATACTTTGCTGAAGAAACCATATCTCTAAAATAAATTCTGATGTCCCGTGCATTGACCCAAAAATAAGTGTTAAAATTTGAAAAATTCCATTCAAAGAGCCCCAATCGCGTCCAAATGTATGACCGACCCCCTCTAACTTTGGAGACCGATCCACCCATGCCCGTGGTTCACCCCATGACACCCTCCTGAAGGGTTTCTCAAAATTTAACCCTTATCTTCAGGTCGGGGTATCAAAATGCAGTTTTAAAGGTAAGATTTCTTCAGAAAAATATTTTATTTTAATCCCTAGAATCCGAAAATCACATGTGCCTAAGTGGCTCTTATATTGACTCGCCCTAATATATATTAAATTTAAAAGTTTCTTAAATTCACATATTTTTCATTTTAGTCCGAAGTATCATCATAAATAAGATTAGATAATTTCATTCTGCGAGTATAGTAATTAGACACTTTTTTTTGGCATGGTAAGCATTTGTATCGAGATATCCCTCCTGGTTTTTTCCAAAATTGAGATTCCACTTTGCCACAGGTATAGCAAACTAAACGACGATTAGAAGAAAAGATATAATTTTTGTCCAAAGCATGTCTTCCGGGTTCTGTGGAATTCATTGCCTTGAGAACATCCTTGCAACGGGAAAAGAACCTGAAAAATAAAAAAAAATCAGCAAAATTAATATAAAAGAAATGCCACTCACATAATAAAATCACGGTGTTTAAGTAATACTACAATTTCGTTGTATATAAGATTTGTATTTTCATAATATTTACAATATTTCTGCTAATTAGCAATAAGTCTACATTGACTTCTTATAACTAAAATTAATTTTTCTATAAGCGCGTGAAAAGCAACTCTTGATTTTACATATTAAAATACAAAACTGATTCAATTCAAGTTAATTAAACTTAGTAAAGTTTTGAAAAAAAAATGCTTTAAATATGAATAGCACAAAGCAATTAAATTTATAAAAAACACATACATAATATATAATTAATATACGCATATATAATGAATATAATAAATAAAATCTCTACTGTTCAGACATTTCACAACAAATATTTTAGTTATAAGTTAAATAAATTTTCAATAATTAATTTGAATTATTAAGTTATTTGTAATATTTTATAGTTGTACATAAAACATATCATAAATATTCTTAACATAAATTATAATTACAAGAAATAAACTAATTTTGAAAAATTAGAACTATATGAACATTAGAAAATTTGAACCATATGCAACTTAATAGTTTTTTCGTCAATATAAACATATTTATATACAGCAAAAAATATCATGTACAAAAAATAAATAAATATCTATAATTATTTATTTACACGTTTCGACACTTATAAAAAATGCACTATAAGTTTGTGTCAATGATGTTGGGTTTGCATCATTTTTATATCTAGAAGTTATTTCCTGGTGAATGATATCACATATCAAGTGTTTCCATACTGTAGAAATAAATTGTAGAAATTGCTCCAATATACTTTGGATAAAATTTTGAATTGGATCCAATGGCATTTTCTTCTTGAGTCTAATGATGTTTGATGGATCACTAAAAATGTAGTCAATCTTGTCTACAAATTAAAACTTAACCCTTTCCACTCGGATGCCGCCGCTCCTGCAGCAAAAATAATCTATATATTATTTATGATTTTCACTACATATGAGACTTTTTAGTTAATTTTCATTCACAAAAATTTAGTAGAAGGATAAGAGCCTCGTTTGTTCATATACTTTTTACATATATAGACTTTTCTATTCCAGCCAATCCAAATGCACCAATATTTCAAGCAAACTAATCACACAAATTTTTCATAGATCATATCGCTCAAATTAGTCTTTATTAAATTAACTTTTTGTCCCACGGGTAGACCTATTTAGTTCGAAAGTAATAAGGGCTGATTTGGTATAGTTAATTTTGGTAATTTATCGTATGTGTTTAGTTTTCCAACATGATGTGTTGTTATTGTTTTTTGAATAAATCAACGTAATTAGAATTAGAAACTCAACAGTTTTATTTTAAAATTTGATCATAGATCCTTCAAACACTACACCATTAGATCTTATTTCCTAAATCCTCTTCCGATTTTAAACCATCTGATTACTGTGAATATGTCTTTGCAAATGCCTCTTCAAATTGGCATTATGGTAAGTTCTATAACCACACATGGTACATTGAAAACTAGGTATTTTTCCACATTCATATTTTAAATGCCGAGCTAATGAAAAACTCCGTTTGTAATTCTTCGAACACCTAGGACATCTATTTGTCTCAGAATCTTCCGTGGTAGCAAAACTAGGTGGTAAAGCAAGTTTTGGTAATAAAACTCTATAATTTTTACAATTATGCATTCGAAATTTGCCCACGTCATAAAAACCCAAGCCGCAGTTTTGGCACACTCTCGCTAAACCTGAAAAGAAAAAAATATAATTAGTAAATTAAAATGAGTTAAAACTTACAGCGAATGGTTTAAGGTTAATACTGTGCTCATAATATAATCATAATATAAACATCTTAATAAGAGTCAAAATCTCATAAAAGCTGTGAAAGTCGTTGAACCTCTTGTAATCCTCAATTATATTGAAGATTTCTTGAATATAATGAATTTGTGGCTAAGCGATTTTTGTGATGATAAAAATTCAATGAAAATGTTTTATAAGCATAAATATTACATAAATATAAATCTTCATAGATGATTGCAATATACAAACGACCAAACCAATATTAATACTACATAATACTGAAGTACAAGATGTATTATAAATTTATTACAAAATATATTGAATATAGAAAACATATATGAACATCTTATTACATAGAATAACAATGAAACAGTTTTAAAAATTCATAAAAAAACTTAACATACAGAGCAATATTTGAGATCAATTTATCACATTAGTCATATAATTAGGTAAAAATTTCATTCATATGTGAAATGTGAATCACCTTAAAATTAAAGTACATATTTACTTTTATTTCACAAAGTGATTTTTATAATAATGTATAAGACTATATATAAGAAGAGCACATACACAAATATAATAAATGTAGAATATTTAATAAAAATTCATCTGAATATTGAAATAATTTTTTTATCACAAACTATCTTAGAGATTATAGTTAATATAATATAAAGAAGACAAATATTTAAAATAAGAGATCAGATTGTAATAAACTGATAAAAAAATTATAATTAAATTTAAAAATGTAAAAGTGGAAAATCTATTAAAAGCAGAGTATAGCAATATTCCAGATTCATTACAAATCAATAATTAATAAGGTAAAAATTTCATTCATATATAAATCATCAATGGAATATTTACTTTTATATCACAAAGTAATTTCAAAGAAATCCATAAACACGTTAAAAGTAAAAAATACTATTTATAATAAATGTAGAATACCTATAAGAATATTTCATCTAAATACATCACATGTCTACAAATCAAATTCCGCAAAATGTTTAATTTTTTGGAAAATATCTAAATATTGAAATATTTATTTTTTCATCACAAACTTTGTTAGAGATAACAATTTTTATAATATGAGGAAGAGTAGCATTTTAAATCTGTGATCAGATAATTTGGTAAAACAATAACTTGAGTAATTGATTTTATAGATATAGTTTATAATATAAGATAAGTTTATAAGATGAAAAATATATAGCAAAGTATAGCGATATTTCAGATTCATCATACATCGAATAATAAGGTATTATTACCTCATTTATATCTGAATCATCTGAATACTGAAACAATCACTTTTTACAATATAAGGTAAATATTTCATATTTTCATATAAATCAATAAGGTAAATATTTCAGATTTTCACAAACTTATTTTGAGATATTGACTTACACAATATAAGTGAGAGATATATTTTAAATCTGAGATCAGATTATTATAAACTAATAAAATAGTAATAGTAACTTTTATAATTAAAGTTATAGATATAAAAAATTATATAGATGTAGATACGTTAAAAATATGGGTATAGTAATATTTCAGATTCAGCATTCATACATCGACTAATAAGATAATAATTTCATTTATATTTGACTCTATAAGTAAGCTCTTAATATTGTCTTTTAGATTCAATCAAAGTTTTGTATGGAAATAGCATGGAAAAATTTTCAAAAATTTTAAAAATGTCTTTTTGATGTAACTTAGCGAACAAATGAATGAGCTTCATTCAAAAATCGACGCTCTACAAAACAAATTATAAAATACCTGTTTTGCAGAGCGTCGAATTTTCAATAAAAAATGACACGAATTGTCACTTTTGATTCATTTGTCACAAAGTTATATCTAAAAAACATTTTTTAAATTTTTGAAATTTTTTCATGCTAATTCCATACGAAAAATTGATTGAATTGCGCACTATCTTAAAGTTAATATTAAGAGCTAAAACTTTCAGATAATTATTTTTTATCAATTTGGAAGTATTTGAGTCCCTGGGAGCAAGGAAATTCGAAAATGTCCATATTAAGGACCACCCTAATATATAAATATAATTATCCTATTTTATGACTAGATTAATTGACTAGTTGTTCTTGGTATTATTTGAGTTGATACTGATATTATGAACTATCAAGAAATGCTCGCTGATTTCGTCTGTTTTAATATCTTTAAATTTGTGATCACACATAGTACATCTCATCAAAATTTCACATCCACACGTTTTTTGAAGATGAATGGCAAATTGACTAAAATCTGAAGCAACCCAGTTGCATTTTCTGCAAACAAACTTAGAATTTGGACTTGGTGAAACTCCATCTGATGCTGCCTTGTTCGATGATGGTGTAATTTGTACATTGTTGTCTAAAATTTAATTAGATACAAATTAATATTAGTCATTTTTTTATTTAAAACTAAAAATAAGTATATGAAAGATGGTAAACATGGAATAAAGTTTAATATGAGACATCAAAAATTTAGGAACAAATCACTGTTCGGATGTATTTCAGTTTAAGAAACATGAAATGAGCTTACTGTTGGGCGTTTTCGATAAAGATGTTTTCAACTTCTTCGAAGAATTATCTTGACTCGTGAATACATTTTTATTTGTCGAAGGCGTCTTAAAATTTTGTGATAACTTTTCTTGATTATTTGGCTCCAAAAGTTTTTCTGGAGTAACCAGAATATCTGCGTTTGAAGAAAGCTTCCTACGTTTTTCTACGGCAGTTTGACTATTGGTGTTTGATGACAACATCCTAATTTTTTGTGACAAATTCTCTTGCGAATTCTGCGATGATTTTTTCAGCAATCGTTCTTTTAGTGCTTCGAGTGGAATATTATCATCCCATTCACTAAATGAAACTATTAAATTTCTTCTTGGTGGTAAAAGCTTTATTGAAACTTCATCAAAATCCAATATTCTTCGGTGAATTGGTGTCGATGTTAACAATTCATTATCACTTTCAAACATTTTTTCATAGGTAAAATCACCTGCTAAAAAATACAAAATCATATTATGAACAAATCAACATGATTAAATAAAGTCATAATAAATTATAAACAGATCTTTATATCATAATTAATACATCAACACTACGTAAATAATACAAATATTTTAAATAAATAAAACAACACAAAATCATAAATCATTTATATTTTTAAACATATTATTATAATCAAACATATATTTAATTTGCATTTCATATAAACATTTTATTATATAAATTTTCATAAAAATATTTTTTTTAAATTATATAAAAACATATTCTATATGTTTTTATTGATAATTTATCTTATTCTATGATACGTAATTTCGATATTTTTAAAATGACGAGATTCAGAAAAAAGCCACTTTTTTGAAAAAAGCAACAAATCAATAAACATTTCAAAAATGTTTTTTACTAGTAATTCATCTTTAAAAAATCTTTTGTAAAATAATGATTATTAGTAGTTTAAAAACAGCTTCAAATTCTTAAAATATTAAAGGCGATATTTTAATGACAACGGTGAACGATGATAATTTAAAATTATAGCCTTACTTATGTTAAACACTTCATTTTTAAATATTGTTATAAAATAAATTAACAATTTGAAAATTATGACAAATGTTATAAAATATAAATAAAACGTTATACTTAATTCTATAAATTTTTAAAATATCATAGAGAATTTACTAGACAAATAAACAATCTTTATAATTTTTATAAAAAGCACTTAGCTCATAGTATAACATTTTATCACTGAAGTTCGAGATAATTGGTGTAATCTTTAACTTTTTATTTTAAACCGTAAATGGCAATAATGACTATTTATTAGAATTGAATAAAATATAACAGCAACATATATCTATAATCATATTATGGGGCCAATTCTTTAATAAAATAAACCGTAACATTCTGACAGTTTTTACTACCAATTTATTTGAAGAAAGGCCGTAACGTAGCGTTGCCATA